GGCGAGATGGGAGTCGCGCTAGCAGGAGCAGACCACGACCGCGTAGGAGTGGGGGTACTGGGCGACGGTACTTACGCGCGGGACAATGACAGCGGCGACGAGGAGCGCGCGATAGCGCGCGAGTGTAGCGCAGGCGCGGAAGTCCTAGGCGTGGAAGGATTAGGCGACGCAGGGGCGCTGGGCATGCACGCGCAAGGTGGAGTCGGCAGAAGCGAGGCGCGCGCAATAGCGCGCGATTGGCAGGCAGACGCGAGGAACCTAGTCCGCGCGGGACTAGGCGAGGCATTGGACGCACACGCGCAGGAAGAGGGCGGCACACGTGAGGCATGCGCGATAGCGCGCGCGTGCGCGGGGGACGCATGCAACGCGGACGGGTGAGGCGACGAACACGCGTGAGGGGCGGCCGAGAGTTTTTAGTGTAGGGTTTAGTTTAGGGAGCTTCTAGATTTGCTTGGTGAGCAAGCCAAGCATTAGTTATTTGGTAGGTTTAGGATTTTATTGCTTTCTAGACTTAGGATTTTTATTCTTGCATGATTTAGGAGATCTATTAGATTTAGGCCTAGATTTATTTTACAACTATAAATACCCCATGTACCCCATCATTATTTTATGTCTTGAATTGAGTATTGAATTGGTGAGCCAATTTTGAGGGGGAACCTTGTGTTCTTAACGTGTGATAAAGAAGGCCATTAGTGCGTCTTTACATGCAGTGTCGAGGAGAAGGCCAATAGTGCGTCTTGAAGTCACGGTGTCTAGGAGAAGGCCGCAGTGCGTCTGCTAGATACATCTATCGGGGATAAACGAAGGCCTCAGTGCGTCGTTTATTCGCAACCCAGTATAGACAAAAGATCGATCCGTCATCATTGGTGCTTTCATTGAGAGGTGCTGATCGAGATTTTGTCTATCTTATCTTTATTTTTTTTCGGTTTTGCCTTTTGGTGAGGGAACCGAATTTCTCTTATTTTTTTGAGTCGAAATTTTCAATTTTTTTTGAAATTTCAATTAAAAAAAAAAAAAGGTGTCATCTTGTTAGTCCTTTGTTTTATTTTTATTCGGTTATTACCTTTTGTAGAGGGGCCGAATTTCTTTTTTGTTCGATTTTTTGAGTCCTTGTTGGGGGTTCGAATTTTTCGAATTTTTCCCCATTTATTTTCGATTTATTTTTTTAGAGTCTTAAAAAAAAAAAAGAAAGAAAGAGAATCATGATGTTGGAGCCATTAGTTGAGTGGGATCAAGAGGATCTTGAATATTTGGAGGGTTTGGGGAGAGAATTAACCCCTTGGGAGCGAGATTATTTGGAGGAGATGTACGAGCAAAAGGAGGAGTATGAAAGACAACTCACGATCATGAAGGAGTTTGTCGAAGAAGAGCCATTGTTTGAG